ACACACACACACACACACATACACACACACACACACGAACACACACCACACACACCAGGGGCGGCTCGTGGGGCTAAAAAGTGGGAGTGCATAATTAAGCACCAGCAGGTTCAAGATAGTCAAGGGCATAATAAATGGGATGGTAGGATCTTTGGGTTGGTGAAGGAGGACCTTATGCTTTTATTTTCGTTCTTTTTACTGGTCGCTTTGATTTCTAGAACTAAATTTGTTCGTTAGCTAAACATCAATTTCTTTTTCCTGCATTGGAACTGAACACTCGAGTAATAACTTTCACCAATTCACTACAAAAGCATTCAAAGACACAACTCAAAGGGCGGAGAGTTAAGTATGTCACGTTCACCTCCCTCAGGTTCACGGTCACAGAGTCGCTTAAAATAGTGGCAAGACAATGAACCAATCACAATTCACTTGAGCACTCTGCTGGATTGTTCCGGGGATCACATAATTTTGGCATTGAATAATGTGGAATAGTGTAAAGGCTATCGCGTTTATTTTTAGATGTCTACTGCGGGCTATATTGCGTGATGTACATTTGAGATGTGCCGTCTTGTTAATATTAATGTACCGCCAAATTCGCTACGAGTGTCGTCATCGCTTGGGTTATCCCAAAGAGCGATTTATAGAGGTCAGATTGCCACTGTTGAATATTATTCTATTACGTTTAGTCAAAGCGCGTGGCCTTTGGCATGGCATAGTAGATGTTTTACGGCGCTTTTGACACAGAAATGACAGTTACATCGCCTGAGAGGACCTTGTTTTGATATTATATTTGGCTACTGTTTGTTTCTGACTTCTTTTATTTCATGTTTGTGGGTGCTTTTTGTAATAGAACATAAAAAAATGTTGGGCGGCACTGCACGACCGTGCTCCATGGAAGAACCGCGCCTGACACACACAGTATACTAGTCCTAATATCGAACCTGTCCAAGGAGATCTCTCATTTAAAAATGCGAAATGACAACCTTACAGAGGGAATCCTCCTGAACGGCGTCTTTACAATATATATACAAGTAACATGTATATATACATATATATATATATATATATCTATCTATATATATATATCTATGATACATAATATGTTAACAGTATAAGCAAAATTTGCCTGACTTTTTATGAATGGTGTATATTATGTACTATTCGAGTACCACCGAAACAAAGACATGAATATTTTATTATTCTCACCAGCAGATCAGGTTCAGTGTACGAGATACATGTACTTTAAAAAGGCGGTCAAGGAAAGGTAGCTTATCTGTTCTCCGCTAAAGTCAATATCACTGACACTAATATTTCTCAGCACAGTGGACACGAAAGCAAACAGAACGTTGTGGACAAAGCAGGTAGGCCTTAAACACATACGAAGAGGAAAGGGGCATGAGAACTAAGTTGGGATGGGGCAGGGAGGGGGAAAGGAAGGATATAAAATATAACAATGACAATAGCACTGATTTAACAATTAATTGTAATTAAGAATACTTGTCTCGCCCCTCCGCCACTTCCCCACCCTCTTTTTTCAACAACCCCCCCCCAAACCAAACCAAACCAAAACAAAACAAGAACAGTCTCTGCCAGCAGCGTGTGAGACATGCAGCAAAGTCAATGCAGAGAAACGGCCTAAGTGGAGACAGTCCGAACCTTTTGAATTTCCTACTGAGTGATGGGCGGCTGGAGCTTAATAAGAGCGCGGCGCTGCTTGGTGGATTTTTCTCTACAGCCACTGATAACGTGAGTAAAAGTAAAGTACGCAAGTGTGTTGTTTTAACGCCCTTATCAACAGGATTATGTCACTTAAAAGGCGAGACCTCCAAATTTAATACGAGCAAAATGGGCTGAGGGCATGGCGAGTAATTAACTCCACAAACTAACCCTAACTCAAGATGGCCTGCCTGGGCTTCGACTCTTCGAACCAGGGTCATCAGCTCCCAAGCCCAGGGTGATACCCACTGAACTAACTGAGCGCCCCTGATAATTTGAGTCTGATAATGGCTAGCTCTTCTACCTCTCATAACGGAGACTTCCTTCCACATTTTTGCTTGATTAAAACAATTAATAAGAGACAATGCCGTTTCTGTGACACTTGAAACGTCAGGAAAGCCTTGGCCATCTAGCTCTCACTTGAAACAAAAGGCAAAAGACCGAACACATTTTATCTGGAGATCTTGACCAGATTGGTGACGAGGATACACCAGGAGAATATTGGGTTTCCCCCCTTTATTTAAGCAGGGAATAGCGTTGTGAGCCGCGGTTGCTGATGTCTGCTTCTGATACCTTCCTCGAGGATGAGGAAAATGCTGACTTCTTTTGTGGAATAGTTTAATGTGATAATAATGGGATTCGTAATAGATCATTGATCCTCGTAAGCAATATCTTGTGGTACCATAGTTGAGGACCAATGCACGTTTAAGCCCTTGCAGCTTAAAAACAAGTGTTTAACTTCCTAATATAATAAGAGATGTGTATGCATAAAGAACGTTGAGGTACCTTATGACACACTCAAGAATTGCAAAAACTCCTGTAGCCATTGATCTGATCCGTGGCTGTTGTTATTGAGTCTTCAAAATGACTGCTTACTCAGACTTAGATTTAGAGACGTCGATGTCTTGAGATGCCTTAGTCAATCAGAGATGACCCAGAGGACCTGCCTGTAGCTAGAGCGGGGACATCACCCTATTTCTTGTTTACTAGTTACATCTCTTCTTGTTTCCGTAACCATTGTTCATATTGGGGTTTCCCCTGAGTTGAGTTTCGGGCTGGGCTGCTTTGCCTCACCCCAAATCCTCAGCATTAATTGTCCAGGCTTGGGACCGGCAGATACATAAGTACCTGACTGCTCTGGGTGAAAAAAGTACGCAAAGAGCAATCAGTTTTACGTGGGGAGCCCGAAACAGTAAATGATACAATGCTATTTAATCTATGCCAGCAGATATCCAACTCATTGGGCCTGGTGTTCTGGCACTTGGCACGAAATCAAGATAAACAAGATCGCTTGCGTGAAGAGATTGCCCGGTGTGTGACGTCCTCCGGGCAAGTGTCTCCAGAGGAGATGTCACACATGCCCTACCTCAAAGCCTGTGTGAAAGAAAGTTTCAGGTATTGGCTCACCGGATAAGGAGCACTTATAACACGGAAATCCATTACTTTACTACGAAGACATAGGGCGTCGCAAAAAGACCCCCTCCCCAACGCCCCCCCCCCAAAAAAAAAAACAACAACAACAACAACAAACAAACAACAACAACAAAAAAAACAACCCAGCAACAACATTTACAACATAAAAAACAAGAACACAGAAAACAACCCCCCCCCCACACAAAAAACAAAACCAAAGAGCAAACCTCCCCCCCCCCCCCCCCCCGGAAAACAAGGGGGGCAACAACCAAAAAAACCCCAAAACCAACGAACAAAAAGAAACAAACAAAAATAAACGAACAACAACAAAATACAATTCAAAATCCCCAAGCAAAAACAACCAATACCCCGCCCCCCCCCCACACACACACACACGAAGACCACCATCTCTAACAGCAAGAAGAAATCAATGGTGACACAAACCTTGGGGAGCATAATATCAGATATTGGTTTGGTCGCTCGAAGCGAAATTCAACAAGGATGAGACGCATGAGTTTACTCAATCAACGACGGAAAAATATCATTGATTGTTCTTGGGGACTATGTTGAGAAAGAAACGGAATGTGTAGCCAAATACATTTTAAAAATGTGTGTGGGTTGTATGTCAATCATGACTTTTTTTTCTTTTCTTTTCATTGTCATTTTCTTTTTAATTCTGGGAGAGATTTTGCACTAGTTGTTCCACCTCATTAGTGAATAAAATGATCTATGTTTTGATATAATCTTTTTAAAAAAGGCAAATACATATTTTCTCTTTTGTAAAAAGAATAGATTCTTTTTTTTTTTAAAAAGCTAAATAAAGGGGAATTTTACTAATCTTTAATTTTCCAGAGTTGCTTTTCCCTTCCCCGTGGGATCAGTGAGAGTGATGCCCCGTGACATCGCCCTGGCCGGCTATCACATCCCACAAGGGGTATGTTCTTCGACGATACAATTGATCTTAGACGATTGGAACTATCACAGGACAACAACTCCCACAAGTTGTAAAGCTATCCCCTGCTTTGTCACAACAAGTTTGATTTCCAATGCTGTTATTTACGGCAAAAGAAAGATTGGTGTCAAGCTACAAACATGGAATGCCTACCATAATTTAAAAAAAGAATTAAGATTTGATATTGATTGGGATTCAGTAAAATAAGGGCAAGCAGATATTGCTCCTTAATGAGAAAGACATATGTTTTTTTAATGAGCAGCACCTGACCATCATCATCATCATCATCATCATCATCATCATCATCATCATCATCATCATCATCATCATCATCATCATCATCATCACCACCACCATTATGAGCCTCTCTCATCGTGTGCCGGAGTATTGGCCACCAATCAGAGCTCTATTCGATTTCTTTTGTTGATGAGTCAACATGATGACCAAGTCTTTAACTGCTAGATGTGTAAATATAAGTGGTGGTTTCTTACAGGGCTGGAAGATGCTATGCTATTGTGCGGTAAAAAATTCGTGGCTTAACTTATTGTCAAATATTTCCTAAACTATCGAACATAAACTCTCCAGCTTTAGCACGATGACTTTTTTTTCCATCAATTTGTCTTAACAGTAAAAGATCAATATTTTTGTAACCCCCTCCCCATTAACTGCATTCCAGAAAATTCCTTTACAAATACAAATTAAAAATCAAAGTGAATAGTTTCTACAAATTTAAAAAGGTTTGCATCATTATCATAATAATAATCATTATCATTATTATATTTTCTGTCCCCTTCCCCCTCCTTTTCTTTCATCCCGTCAAACAAGACCACAGTATACTTTGGCCACAACGCCCTGTGCCATTCTGCCGAACACTTCGAGGCCCCTGAGGAATACAGACCTGAGCGTTGGCTAAAGCAGACTGGCAGCTCACCTGACCCCAAGATAAGGCGTCGACAGGCAATCTGTGTACAGCCTTTTGGCTTGGGTCCACGAAACTGTGTAGGCAGACGCTTAGCAGAGCAACAGATGTTCCTAGCCGTCATTAAGGTGGGTATCAAAATGATGTTCATTAGTATGGGATATTTGGATATTTCTGGGGGAGGAATGAGGGTATTTTTATTTTTACAACAAACCAACTTCGTCCTTTCTCTGATCCTTTGCTGGTTCTTTCTCCAATCACATACATCCTTCCACAGAACAATTTTATATTCTATCCTCAGATTATCACGCTAGAACTGTCTGTTGCTACAATCAGAGACATAGCGATGACTCCAAAAAGTTTGGTTCCACCTATACGCTAAAGCTTTGCCCTGCACCGATACATATTATTATGATTTTATATCATAGATCGTGCACTTTAGACGTAATCAGGCTCACTCTGGAGCACAGCATTTTAGCAAAATGACGGTCAATCGGTGAAGATACCACGAGCACTCCGACTTTAGCGAGACTACAGGTGTTTTGCCCTTCTTTTTGGCGGAATGGTGCGTACGCGTCAGTGCAGGGTCCAGGAGCACACGCCTATAGTGTGACCAAAGACATTTGTTTGTCGCTTGGCCGACGTGGAGATGGATAAATAAATCAAGATGTCTGTTTGGCCTCCCTGTAAAGTTACTGATTACAAACATGAGTCCCTCTTCTGTCTCGGAATACAAGGAGCCAGATTCCAAGAGAGGAAAGTAGGTTTGAAAATACTCAATCTGTGACAATATTATTTTTTTTGGGTAACTTGCATTCGACCCCCCCCCCCCCGCCTTAAAAAGTCCCCTACCTGCCCATACTTGTGTCTGTCTCTTTCTTGATGTTTTATTTTTTGCCTGCTCGTGCAGAATGTTAACCGCTGAGAGGCCTTAGCCTCATGTTTGCTGAACCTCTTAATTCGAGAACACAGTTTTTACAGTATAAGGCCAATTATCAATAGAAGTATTCGTGAGTTTGACTCATTTTCACGTAGCCTTGTTTTCCATAATAATATCACAAGCCTTGCTTTGCCTTCGCACTAAATGGCCTTTACCTAGTCGATGTACTTCTGCGCGCTCAAACAAAATTAGACTTTTTTTTACCAGAACGTCAACGTGTTGCTTAAAAAAAATTGCAGTTACTCTGGTCACTTTGGGGACTAGTCTTTTCTTTGGGTAAAATGTCAACAATTAGTTTGAGGTAACCTTGTAACCCTAATCAAATGGAAGGACACTTTCCTATATACAAATGACCATCCATTGTTTTCTGGATTGCAGGTATTACAAAGATTCAAAGTAAAGCTGGGAAACCCGCAAGAAGAGCTGGACATTGTGCATAGGATTTCCGCAAGATCGTCCAGGGGATTGGACATCCAATTTGAAGCAGTATAGTTCCCCTAAAAGAATTTCAGATGCTCTCTTTATCAGTTTTGCATATCAAGTTGAATCTGTTCTGTAGAACGGTTGATAAATATACTACCAGAGATTATAGTTTTATTATGGTTGAAAAATGAAAAGGCAGCAAATTGTAGAAAATGTATCAACGTGTTGACGACAGTACCCCGGGATGACTTAGGAATGTCACGGATAAAAAAGAATATTATTATGCAAACATGTAATTACTTTGAATATCAATTTTCAATATCAATAATGATTTTTAGTTATTATTCAAATAATTTTCATAAAGCTTTCATGTTTTGGCTGCATTTGTTTTAGAATAGTCCAGCATAACAATTATATAATAAGTAGTGAGTCGGGCTAATTGTGGACAATATCAAGTTTTGGTTATATTTTACACTGTTTAAGGAACTATACACGACACATTGTGAGAATGGGGGGCACACCAGTCACGTTCAAAGGCCCACATTATGAGATTCAATGACTTCCCCCCCCCAAAAAAAAAAGATTTAAAAAATGGATCGATGGAATCAAAGAGACCACCCAAAAGGAACAGCATTGCTATCCAAACAGAAACCTACATATTCATAAATAAACACACCAAGTTTCTGAATGTTTACCCCTGATTGCAATCTTCGAGCGTCCTGCACATGGTTCGTCTTCCACGTTTATCCACACCTTCATTCCCACCCTCCTTCGGCAGTAGACAAGTTGCACTTTTGATGTAGGTAACTTTGTTTTACTCATTGCGTTTTGATCATGCAACACAGAGAATTCAGTGGGGGCTTGTGTGGCCCTTCTTTTCTTTTTCACGCTTAAGTAACGAATCTGACCTCTCGCATGTCTATGTTTTACCAATCCTCTTGGAGGCTAGCCATGTTTGACATGACATCATAGATTATATGCATACGTTCTGCGGTGCAGCTAGTACTTTGGAAACATCAAGATGCATGCATTGCCGCCTTTTTGCATCCCGTTTACTGATTGTACACAAAAACAATTTGTTTTGTTTTAGTAGTGGCTATTATATTTCCACCTTAAGTTTCAGACAGCTCTTGCATCACACAAAAAGACCCCAAATTTTTCTCACTTGAGATCCACTCTTATATATACGCCTGAGTTGTGATTTTTGTGTTTTCTTAAATTTTGTCTTCCGCTTTTGTAACAAGAAATAGGCTATAGCAGCTAGAAAGAGGCGCTTGTGTGCTGCTAGTCGGCGGGTCTGTCGTAACGAGATATTGTTGGTCTGTGATGCCACGGCCTCCTTTACTCCACCGAGCGATATCATTCTTGGTCTTCCTGGCCTTGTTATCTTTGGATATTGAATTATTAATAAAAATGTGTGTGCACGCTAGGCTTGGAATTGTGCTGGTAAACGGGCGAGGTGGAAAACGTTATCTTTTGGTCAAATAAATTATGTTGACTGACATCCACGATTCTAAACACCTTTCTGATGATAGTGCTGAATCGGGTCAGCTTTTATTGACAACTTTTCTTAATTAAGCATCACGGCGTTTGACATGCTATTGACATGCTATTTTATGTTCAAGGTTGATCAGGATCCAATTTTCGACATTGCTGAGTCAAAGCTGAAGGAAAGATGGAAGTAATGATTTGGGAGTTGGGAATACAAAATAGTCAGAATCCCAAGTCACCAAATTAATTTTTATTCCAACTTTGCATTAGTGCAAATGCATATTTATCCAAAACTAATTTTTGTTACTGAATGTTTATTTTAAATATTTGCTTGCAGAACGCTCTATAGTTTTAACAAACCTAGCAAATCCCATTTAAAGACATAAGAGAATCCTTTGTCTCACACGATTGAATGAAAGCATTTTCAAGAAGGTTAACCACCATATATAAACATGTAAAGTAACACGTGCCTTGTAAAATCGTAGAAACAAAAAGCCACCAGAAAGCACTATTGTGCAATGCTTCTCTCATAATGTATATCGTCTGAAACAATATTAACAGACCATAAAACCCCTCTCAGCCAGCGGTTTCATTTTCAGATATTTGTAAATGGTTCTGAATTTGGAAGCCGCAAACGTTTTCTACAAGGTTTCCAGCAGTCTTTGATGAGATTACATAAGAAAATCTCTATATTGTTATTTGTTGACACTCATTATTCATTTATGATACAGTTGTAACCACGAACAAACCCTTCTATCTTACCATCTTTCAGCCAAGTATCATATTATTATTATTATTATGTATATAACTTTATATATTCTTTGACCATGTACTGCTGTATAGAACCTTAACGTATTCATAATGTACACATCTGTCACTTGTGCACCGAAATTGTTCTTACTACTTGTTTGTACATGTACATTTTTAAGCCCTCACCAACACAATTTATACCATTAGAGATGGGTACTTTTGACCATGCCAATCCGAGCTGAGAAAGCCTGCGTATCCACCAAACCAGAATCCAAGAGACCGAAAGTCACTCTCTTGGGAAATCGGTAGCTAAAATAGATCAACAGTTTTCGCCAGAGTAATCAATAAGAATTCCATTTGGATGTGTCCACCAAAACGACCCAAGACCTTCCGGCAAAAGTTGAGTCGGCTGAAAGGTAGTTTGCGGTATTTTATTCGGATCTTCTGCTGACTCATAAGACAAAGGCCCTGCCAGAGCCAACAAAAAAGACTTAATCTTAAGTTCCGATGGAAAATCTAATGTCACATTCGTAAACAACGCCTCAAATTTAGCAAGGTAGAGACGTAAACCACCGGCTTAAATGCAAATTAACCATTTTACCAAGATCTTTTCAAATCATTCATGATCTTTTATTCTCGTCTTGTGTTCCTTAACCTATGACCTGTTCACGCATATCGGAAATGACTAGACCGACGTTTGCCCTACTCGACAAAAATGGGGTCTGTTCTTCTTTGGTGAATACACGGCATAATACAACGTCCCAGCTGACAGACTATAGAAAAGCCCCCATGAACCAAAATGTACGAGGCAGCTTGCATGTTCTTATCAGAACAAAGCGACACTCATGGTCTTTTGTATTTGAGAAGTTTCACGAGTCAAATATATTTTCAGAAGCACAATCCAGACTCGACTTACTTATTTTAAAACATATCCGGATGTATATTCAGTTCTTCTTCTTCTTCTTCTTCTTCTTCTTCTTCTTCTTCTTCTTCTTCTTCTTTTTTGGGTGGCCAGTTCTGTTTCCAGATGACCTACTCTGTATCTTACGAGTCATGAGTCCCTAAACCCATCCTGGGGCCCTGAGGACGCTGTATTGGGAAAGCAACACCACTTCTGAAGACATTGGTGTTGTGTTCATTTTCATGCAGTGTGTCTTTGGCCAGGAACCTTTGACTGCACCATTCTTGGACATGGTTGAAAAATCTCGGAGGTCCCGTTTGCAAGTAAAAATCCCTTGGTGGCCCAAAATAGAAAGAGAGGCTTCGGCCGCCACCGGGGCAAAATCTTAAATTTCCTAAGACACGAACATGTTTAATATGCGCGCTCATGTGACCTTATACTGTTGCGAGCGCCGTGTCTTTGGCGGCCCCCATCCCTTTTCATTTTATATATATATATATATATATATATATATATATATATATATATATATATATATATATATATATATATATATATATATATATATATATATGTGTGTGTGTGTGTGATCGTTTTTCCTACTTCGTAGGGCCCATGCCTTCAGGTAGCCACATTCTCGATTTCGAAGGTACTCTATGACTAAAGAATTTTCAGTTTTGGTAGGAATTAATTTAGAATTTTGCTCAATTGACGACCGAAGTCTACTCTTTATTGATTTTAGGACCAGGTCTATAGGATCTTTAATGTGCACAACTTGCTAACAGGACCTCTGTATCTGACAAAATCTAAATGACAGATACCTTTCAGGGTTGACAAGGTCTTATCACTATGGAGTTATGGACAAATCTCTTATTCTGGGACAAACAACCATACACATAACCATAAAAAAGAGAATAAAAGGCAAAGCAAACATCTCCAAATGCGTGTTTTTAAGAACCAAACACCACAGAAACAAGTTAAGCAGATTATCGTGATATCAGGTCTAGCACTCACATAGCGAAATCAGCGGAACACTGAAATCTTTCCGTTGTTTACAAATTTCGTTATGTAGGTGTTTTAAATACATGTATAACAAACAAAAATTGAGTCCTGCAAATGTTTTCGCAATGTGCTTGTTCACTGTGTGCGTGCTAGACTGTAATTATATAATTTGAATAAGAGCAAAAATCTTCAGCAAACATTTTCAAATACGTGTTTAGATG